TCAGCCAGGGGTCCCCCGCCGGAAGCCATAGTTCCCTCCACAAATGCCCTCTATGTCCCCTCCCCTCCCGCGGTCCCCCCCGCCCCCAACCCCCACACCCCCTCCCCCTATCCCGACTGGTCCCCCACCTGCTACCCCACCCCCTCCCTCCTCTCCACCTTCTCTTCTATCAACACCCGCCACCCACCCCGACACCTGGCCAGCCGGCGCAAGTGATGCTTTTATGTACTAAGCGGTGGACATTTGAAGATAGGACTTCGGCAACATTATCCTCACAGCCTCCCCACAGCTTCATCCGAGTTGAACAGGGGTTCTCCTCAGGTACAGGGGCCGAGCGGGAGACCACAAAACAAGTGGGAAGGCCAACGACGAGTACAAATGGACAATCGACGTCATTGGACCCCAAAAGGACAGATTGAAGGGTTTAAAGACCCTAAGAAGAAGCAGGGTGATAGATAAGGGTTTTAGGAGGTGAAGGGTTCAAAAGTCAGTTTTAAAAAGGTAACCAAAGAAAAAATCACTAGGGGGCTGCTGGATAGGGCTGAGTCCATACGTGAGAGGAGCTCCACAGCGAGTGGGTATTTTTAGCAACTCCAAGGGACAACGGAGCTTGGGACAGATACGATAAGCGACTACAGCCCCAGGAAACAGGGTTTTTTGCTGCTGTATTATGTGATGTACCAATGGGACGCTGGACCCGGTTTCCAGCAGGTGTCACTCCACACCAAAAAAACAAAAACAAAAAAAAAAAGATCACACGATCGAGTCCAAGATTCGACATGAGCTTTTACTGAGGTGATAAGAAATCCAAGATTCCGCCAAAGCCGACTACTTGAGAGTCGTTCCCCTCCCACCATCGTTTCTTCCCACTACTTCCCAACTGCCCATTGGCACTCTCCTAACCAGGAATGACCCCCGCACTCAGCCTCAGCCATTGAAAAAGGAGTCCTGTATCAACCAAAAATATATATAGCCTACTCGAAATCATTGCAAAGCAAAACTGTGGTCAATGTCCAAAAAGTGGTCAATGTTCAAAACAACATTCGCAAAGAACGGATCCGAAAAGCTTTTTGCTCCAAACTCTCTTCTTAGTGTCAGCACCTGCATAGGAATCTGGCTTCGAACCGTAGATTGAGCCATCCCTTGACAGCGACCAATTTGTGTTTCCTAGGACCATAAGTCTTGTCCCGTACGAAAAACCAAATCTCTTCTGGACCAGATTGTCACTTCATTCTTAGTCCGCTGAATAGATCCCAACTACGGATAACAATTCCGGACCTGCACATTGCAAAAAGAGGTACCAGGACCCTGTGTTTTCGTAAGGCTGAGTCTGTTTTTGCGTCAGGGCCTTAGGATTAGCGTTGTCACTCGGGGATCCCTGCGCGGCGAGCCGGGGGGGCGGTCTGACCCCGGACCCCTAGTGCGGGCATCCCTGACCCCCGGTGCAGGGGTCTTTGACCCCCGGTGTAGGAATCCCTGACCCACCCCTGTCTCTTATACACATCTAGATGTGTATAAGAGACAGGAGTGCTGTTTTTTTTTTTAAGGTCCCACTTTTTGGGTTGCTCTGTTTGTCTCCAAAATTGCAGGGAGTGGTACTAGCTGAATACTTTCTTTGCATTTGATCCTG